CAAATATGTCCATGCTCTAATCCCCAGAATGTTACTTATGTGGCAAAAGGGACTGGCAGATGTGATTACGTTAAGGTTCTTGAGATGGGGTGATTATCCCGGAATATCTGGTTGGGCCCAGTGTAATCACAAGGCTGTTATAAAAGAGAAGCTAGAGAGTCAAAATCAGAGAAAGCATTCCGACAACAGAAGCAGAGATCGGAGTGATGCGACTGTGAGCCAAGGAATGCCAGCAACTTCTAGAAGCTGGAAGAGGTAAAGAATAGATTCTCAGGGCCGGCCCAGTGGCGCAAGCAGTTAAGCACATGCGCTCTGCTGCGATGGCCCAGAGTTCACCGGTTCGGATCCCGGGTGCGCACCGACACACTGCTTGTTGGCAAACCATGCTGTGGCGGCATCCCATATAAAGTGGAGGAAGATGGGCATGGATGTTAGCACAAGGCCAGTCTTCCTCAGCAAAAAAAAAAAAAAAAAAATAGGACAATTGGCAGATGTTAGCACAGGGCTGATCTCCTCACAAAAACATAAAAATAAAAAATAAAAATAAATAAAAATAAAAAAGAATGGATTCTCCTTTGGAGCCTCCAGAAGGACCAGCCCTGCCAAAACCTTGGTTTTATTCCTCAAAGAATCATTTTGCACTTCTGATGTACAGAACTGTTAGAGAATAAATTCCTGTTGTTTCAAGCCACTAAATTTATGGTAATTTGTTACAGCGGCAATAGGAAACTAACACATGGGAGTTGATTTTTCTTTTCAGATAATATCTTCAACCTATAACTATATTTAAGAACCTGATTCATTATCACGTCTTAGTTCAAATTTAACTTCTCCAGTCTAGCACTCAAGGCCCAACTATTTATATAAACTCATTTTTATCACCTCACCCTGGTTAGCCTTCTGTAGACATGGCTGTGTCCTATTACATTTCTTACCTTTTATCTCCCCTCACTTTAACGACTTTCTACCTTTTGATAACACATCCCTTACTTTCTTTATGATTATGTTCAAGACACTTCTTCGATAAGCTCTTCCTGACTTCTCTCCTCTCACAACAATAACTGCTGCGCAGTCCTCAGATAGGCTGTTTACTTGGATCTCTCTAACCTGCTCAGCGTCCTCAGTTGTTCTCTGAATGTAGCTACTCTCCTCATATGAGACTGTAAGATACTTGGAAGCAGATAATATGCATTCAGTATCTGTTGTTTTAACCTGCTGTATTAGTTTTCTGTGGCTGCTGTAACAAATTATCACAAACTAGGTGGCTTAAAACATATTGGTTCTCTCACCATTCTCAGAAGTCTGAGATCAAGGTATTGGCAAGTCTGCACTGCCTCTGGAGGCTCTAAGGGAGAATCCATTTTCTGTATCTTTCACGTTCCAGTGGCTGTCATCATTCCTCGATTCGTGGTGGCATCACTCCAGTCTCTGCCTCCATGGTCGCATTGCCTCCTCCTCTGTGTCTATTTTATAAGGATATATGTGATTGCATTTAGGGCCCATCTGGATAATCCAGTATTATCTTCTCATCTCAAGATCTTTAATTTAAATATATCTGCAAAGACCCTTTTTCCAAATATGGTAACATTCACAGATATTTGACATCAATATCATTAGAGGGAACATTTTTCAGCCTACCATACCTGCCCAATATCCATCCCCTTCTTCTGGTAATAACTCCCTTATTACTTCCTGAGGAACTACATCCTCCTAATTGGGGGGGATGTATAAACTCAAATCAAGCAGTTTAGGTAAAGCCTCCCTCCTCCCACTATAAGTATACAACAAGGACATGGCCAACCAGCATATTCTATCCCCTTTGGTCACAATGATTGACCACGGGCATGTGACTCAAGCTAGTGCGATTACTTTCCAGGACTTTCGTCAGAACAAATGGGAAGGAGACATGGTTTTTGTTCTGGGACCACTTGATTAAGCAAAAGGAATGTACTGACTTACTTGCTGGGAAGAATAATGAGATAATCCTCAAAATCGAAGGAAAAGCATTAGGTACCAGGCTCAGGGACTAGAACCAAGACTCAGTGCCCCCAAGACACATGCTCCCTCTCATGTCTGCTTGATTTCTTTCTATTAACAATCTCTCTCCAAACGGAAGGCAAGATGTTTGTCTGGAGCCAGGCGCACATCCTCTTATCTTTAACAACCCTGGCAAAAAGACAAACACTACACCCCAGCATCCATATATCAATTTCACAGAAGGACTCTGATGAGCTCTGCTTGCGTCATCATAGTCCTAAGTCTTAAAATAATTACTTTTGCTAGAGAAACCATGATTAATGACTGTGTCACGTTGCCAGGCAACGTGTCAGGCAATGAGGGGGAAAAACACAAACATAAACAACTCAAACAAACCACCACCACCGAGAAAATACCACTATTCCTGTTTTATAAAACTCGTAGTCTAGAGGGGAAAAAACATCACACAAAAAAATATAAAATTACTGTGGTATATGTGATGAGAAGAAGTACATGGAGACCATAGCAGGGAGAATAATCCATTACAGAAGTTCAGGGAAAGTGATAGCAGAACTTAGATCAGAAGGAGGAAGATAGGGATGGAGATTGTTCTAGGCAGAGGCAATAACATGTTCAACGTCCTCATGGCAGAAAGGAGCATTGCTCACTGGAAGACCTAAGATAAAACCAGTATGTCTAGGGAGAGTATTGTGTGACGTGAGACTGAAGTAGGTAGGGGCAAGACCAGGCACATTATTGTAGGCCACGTTAAATATTTTATACTTTATCTTAGGTGTCATTAAAAGCCACTTAAATGTTTCAAGGGGGTGGGGAGAGGGAAGATAGTGGACACGAACAAGTTTGTATTTGTGACTGTACTGTAGAGGACAGATTGGAGTTGGGCCTAAGTGACTGTAAGAAGATACATTGAGTTTTAAATTGATTTCCAACTGACAGAGCTTTATGCATTCCTGCCTCCTACTTTCCCATTAAGTGGTCATATTAAAAAAAAAAAATCATTAAATGAATGAAAAACGCTTTTAGAGGAGTGATTACTTGCTCTGCAAAACCGCTCACTTCTTTATTTCTTTTGTAAATTGTTTTCCCTCTGAATACAGTCTGCAATTTGAGTACACTAACTTGCTCTTTAAAGAAGTAAGGAAAATCAGACAACAGAACCTCTACACAATCTGTGGGGCTGTAGAGGATGAGACCCTGACAGTTGTTTAGCTGCTGTCTCAATCTGTAGATGTCTCATGGCTCTAAATACCGTCACCACCCTGATGACTCTCAAATTTATCTCTAGTCCACACTTCTTCCCTGAACTTCAGTGTCTAAATCTAATTGTCTATTCAACTTTTCTACTTGGATGTCTAACAAAGATTTCAAACTCAACAAGTAAAAAACAAAATTGCTGATTTCTGTCTTCAAAATCGCTTCTTCTAGGGCGCCAGTCTGGTGGTGTAGCAGCTAAGTTCACGTGCTCCACTTTTGGCAGCCTGGGGTTTGCAGGTTCAGATGCCTGCCACAGACCTGTACACCTCTTATCAAGCCATGCTGTGGCAGGCGTCCCACGTATAAAATAATGGAAGATGGGCACAAATGTTAGCTCAGGGCCAATGTTCCTCAGGAAAAAGAGGAGGACTGGCCAGGGAGGTTAGCTCAGCGTTAATTTTCCTCACTAAAAAAAAAAAAAATCACTTCTACAATTCAATTTTTCCAACTTGCTCACAATGTCTCCTTTACCTCATACTCCACATCTAATACATCCACAAATCTTATCAGCTCTACTCCTAAAATATGTCCAGAATTCAATTGTTTTCACCACCTCAAGCAAGACCACTCCGGCCCAGACCACTATCGCTACAGCCTGGATTATTGCAATAACTTCCTGATATCAGTTTTCAACAACTAATACATATTTATTTTCTTCTGGCTCCCTCTATATAATCTCTGGGAGACGGAGGACTTGTCTCTTTCATTTGGCGCCAAGAACTCCAGGGCAAGCTTGCAGACGTCCCATAAATACTTGATGGAATGAATAAATAAATATTTTATACCACCACATATACAGTAATTCATTTAAGGAAATGTTTGTGTGAAAATCGACGGTAAGGGACTTTTACAGAAACTCCTAGAAGAAAAAAAACAGTGAATGGAAAATAGGGTCAGCTGGTTAAAGCAGTTTCCACAGGCAGACAGGTTTTCCCCGTAAGCCAAAATCCCTCTATTTTTGGCCACTGTGGGTGGAAAGCTTCTTGCTCCACTCGGCACCTCACCCTCAGCCGACTGCCTAATAACCTCACCCTGGTCCTGCCTGCTGGACGAGGGAGCCCACGAGGCCTCGGGCTGGAAGATGCCCTTGAGCACCCTCCAGGCCTCACGGATGACACTGGATCCTAGGCACACAGGCGACTTTAATCGGACAGTAAAAGGGGCAAACTTCTCGTTGACCTTCTCCACTCTACTACTAACTTAAAATCTAAATGCATAAATGCAGGGACGAAACCTTTGGAGACTGAACCTTCAACCTGGCCACTGGTTAAGGAGCAGAGCGCACAAAGCAGAAGGGCTATTCCCGGCCGGCCTCTGGGGTTGACGAGAAGCGAAGTCGTCAATTGCCCTGACCCAAAATAGCAGATCACGTGTATAGGGGTGAAGATAGGGCCATTGGGAGAAGCCAAGATGAGAAGCGAGAACGAAAGCATCATTTTCTTGATCCAACATGGAGGCGGAGGTTACAGGAGAAAGAATGGCCAGGGTCGACGAAGCATCCACTTGGCAGAAACAGCAGGCCTGGCGAAGGAAGCCAAAGGCGACACTGACCTAATCCAAGATGGCGCCAGAAGTTATTACCGGGAGCGCAAAAGAGGCGATGATGACCCCGATCCAAGATGGCGGTGGCGTCTGAGGCGAGCCGAGGGGCGGGAAGCGACAGGAGCGCCTTTGCCCTCCTCCAAGATGGCGGCCGCCGTGGGCGCTGTCCCTGGCTCCGCCCCGCGGCCGCGGCCCCGCCTCCCCCGTTCTCCCTTCGCCGCCTCGCAGCGCCGAGTCCGGGCGGTGATGCTCGCGCGGGGAGAGCGGGCTCCCTACGCTTGACATGGCGGCAGGAGCGGCGACTGCAGCAGCGAAGGGGAATGGGGGCGGCGGGGGCCGGGCCGGGGCCGGCGAAGCTGGCGGCGCGCGGAAGAAGAAAGGCCCAGGGCCTCTGGCCACGGCGTACCTAGTCATCTACAATGTGGTGATGACGGCGGGGTGAGGCTGGGGCTCGGGGAGGGGGCTCTGCGGCCGGCGGGGCGGCCCGGCCCGCGTGCAGCGCATCCCCGCCGGGGCGTGTGCGGGACCCGGCACCCGGGCGCTGCGGGCAGCGAGCGCTGAATCGGCCCCGGTGCCTGCCCAGGACGCCTGCCTGCGCGGGTGGCCGAGCAAGTTCACAGGCGCGGGCGTGCGCCGAGCTGGAGTCCGGGGCTCCGGGGGGCACGGGGAGGGCGGCCCGGGCGCTGGTCCGGAGGGCCTTGGGAGGGCGGCTGGGCTGGCCACAGGGCCAGGTCTGGGGACCGGGCGATCCTGCAGCGCAGAGGAGAGCCCAGGCGGCGTGTCACGCATGGCGAGCTCTTCCCCCAAGGGGAGTGGAGGAAGCTGTGGCTGCAGAGTGACCATTTATTTAGGCGGCTGTTTTCAAAAGCCAGGTTGAACTTTAATCTGGAAGGTAATGGAAAAGCGTTCAAAGTTTTTGACCAGTGACGTGAGCAGGGCTGTGCTTTAGATGAGTTTAGACTTTTTAGGATGGATTGGGGTGAAGAAGATACTGGGGGTGGAAGGCAGAGTTACTGGGGAGCAGGGAAATAGACCCTCGAAACGGGTTTTACCCCCTCTTGTTCCCCTTCATTGCCCTTCATCCTTTGTCACAGCGGGTTTTTAGTTCTAGTTTTAACACTAACTAGCTGTGGGACCTTGGATAAATCACTTTATTTCTCATGGTCTCCGTTTTTTCATCTGTAAAACTAAAGAGTTTGGGCTAGGTGATCTCTAAGCTTCTTCCGGTTCTTTGAGCCCATGGTTTTGGTGAGGAGGACCACAGAATCAGACTATTTGTTATGTATTTTTGAATGGCATTCATTTGTAAAAAAAATTAGCCCTAAAATTTTATTATGAAAATTTTCAAACATGCAGAAAAGTCGAAAGAACTGTATAGTGAGCATCTGGTTTATTTTTTAAATAGGTACTACATTGGCAGGCTGCAAAATTCAAAATATACACAAAAATGTGCAGTGAAACTCTCCTCTCTCACCCTTCCCTTCCACCCAGATCCCCTCCATGGGGGCACTCATTTTGTGTACCCTTCAGATGCTGATACAAGCAAATATATACATTCCCCCACCCCCTCCCCTTTTTTTAAAACACAAATGCTAATGTCATGCTAGTGTTTCAGCACCTTGCTTTTTTCACAAAAAAATATCTTAGGAGGATCATAGGCTTTATTGCTAGTATTAGAAATGGCGGGTGTTGAAACCTAGGCTCAGAGAAGTTGTGACTTACTTGATGTCACAGAAAGTACAGTAGTCCCCCCTTATCCTCAAGGAATACGTTCCAGGTCCCCCAGTGGGTGCCTGAAACCACAGATAGTACTGAACCCTATATGTTACTGTTTTTCCCCGTACATTATATCTATGATAAAGTTAAATTTATAAATTAGGCATGATAAAAGATTAACAACAATGACTAATAATAAAGTAGAACAATTATAACAATGTATTGTAATAAAAGTTACCGTAGACCTTAGCAACCTCAGCATACGATTTTTTTTCTTTCCTCATTAAGTCAAGAACTCTCACCTTTTCACTTAAAGGAAGCGCTTTATGGCTCCTCTTTAGCATTTCCGAATTGCCAGCTTCACTACTGTTGCACTTTGGGGCCATTATTAAGTGAAATAGGGTTACCTGAACACAAGCACTGCAGTACCACTGGATCTGATAACCCAGAGGGTACTAAGTGACTAAGGGGCCGGTACATGCATGTATCCGCTGGACAAAGGGAAGATTCACGTCCTTGGGGGACACGGAGCAGGACCACGAGAGATTTCATCAGGCTACTCAGAACGGCACACGATTTAAAACTTATGAATTGTTTATTTCTGGAATTTTCCATTTAATATTTTCAAACTGAGATTGACCACAGGTAACGGAAACTGTGGAAAAGAAACGGAGGATAAGGGGGGGACTACTACTATAGGAGATCTGGATCTAGAACCTTTTTCTCTTGACTCACAGGCCAGTGAAGATATGTAGTACAGATGCAAGTTTCTTTATCACATAAATGGTCACAGAGTGATTTTTAAAAGAACATTCAGGAGTGTGTGTATTTATACTTATACATAAAATTCTTTTTTTTTTTTTTTTAATTTATTTAATTTCCCCCCAAAGCCCCAGTAGATAGTTGTACATCATAGCTGCACATCCTTCTAGTTGCTGTATGTGGGACGCAGCCTCAGCATGGCCAGAGAAGCGGTGCGTCTGTGGGCACCTGGGATGCGAACCCGGGCCGCCAGCAGCGGAGCGCCTGCACTTAACCACTAAGCCACGGGGCTGGCCCCTTATACATAAAATTCTTAGCTCAGCAAGGGTGTTGATGAGACTATTGGACTGGAAAGAGGTGTTAAGTTACACTGGGGAAGAAGGAAAAAGGTCTTTATTCCTGGGTGATGAACATAGAGAGTGGGGTGGAGGTATCTGAAACCAGGAAGAGAAATTGGGATTGTGAGAGTAAAGTAAGCTTTTTTGTAGGCTGCTAATTCTGGACCAGTTACACCATTAAGGAATCATTTCTCTTTTAATAAACATTTATTTGATGTCCTTAGATGATAGTTTCTACAAATAACATAGACCACCTACCCCATTGCCTAGTTGAGATTGTACATTTATGTAAATCGATCACTGCTTTCAAGGAGAGATACCTTAATAATAAAGGTCCATTTGTTTCATTATGGAACTTAACAAATAAAAAATTACAGGGCCTGAGAAATTTATTTTTCAGAGGGACATAGAACAGAAATATAATGTTCACTGTGATATGCCTAAGTGCTTCCCTGTTTTGTATTTTGTATTGGTCTGACTTTCTTTACTGAATTGATTTTTGAAACTTAGCTAAAAAAAGCTTTTATTCTTATTTCACTTACAATTTTAAAAGGATAGGTGTTAAGGTATGGGTATGTTCCATGAGATACTTATAAAAGTAGTTTAAAACATCTTTTCTCCACCCTATTATTATTACAGACCCTTTAACTGCATAGGCCGTTTAAAATTTTCCTCTAACAGTTTTTTTCTCTTGTCTTAGGCTTTCTGGCACTTAATTTAGCTGCTCAAGGACCAGTTTAGCTTATTCCCTTCATTTTGGCCTTGTTGTCAACGGGCAAGGTTGCCGAAAAGCTGAGCTCCAGATGGGTGAGGTGCCACTGTGCTTTTGCAGAGCACTCTTGGTAGGATGCTGTTGGTGGTGCAACGTTGCTGTGCAATTCAGCTTGGCATTTGAGAGCTAGAGTTGATAAATCTGGGACACTGATTCTTGAGGTCACCTTTAGCAATATCTGTGGTTGCCACATCTTTCTATGACCTTAAATCCTACTTACCTATTTTTTTTTTTTCTGATTCCTCTTTTTCCTCTTTTTCTTAGGTGGCTTGTTATAGCAGTTGGTCTGGTCAGAGCATACCTGGCTAAGGGTAGCTATCACAGCCTTTATTATTCCATTGAAAAGCCTTTGAAGTTCTTCCAAACTGGAGCCTTACTGGAGGTAGGTCCTGAGATTTGTTGTTGTTACTGGTTTCTATTGTTATAAAATAACAAACATGCTGCTAAATTATATTACAGTAGTTATATTTCTGTTGCGTTTGCTTTAAATTTTGAAAACTTGCCTCAAAGCATACTATAATGTTGATACTTGGACTATCTTTTTGATGTTCTAGATAAAGTAAAATCTCATTTAACTTGAATTGCCTGGAATATATATCCCTAAGGACATCCTAGGGAAGAGTTAGCAAACTCAGATGCTTTCAGGGGCCAGGCATATAATGGAAACAGTGAGGTTGGTGCTTGTAGCATGTCAGGAGCGATAAATATAAGAAACAGTAGAGCCTGTCTAAAGGCATCAAAAACATTTTTTTAACAAAAGTTTATTAATTTCCCTGTATTAAGGGTAATATATATGCCATCCTGTCTCCCGGGGTCAGTGTATGTTAGGATTTTTGAGTTGCAAGTGACAGAAACCCAATTCAAACTATTTTAAGCAAAAAAGGAATTTACTGACTTCCGTGGTTGACAAAGATAATAGGGTTAACTTACAAAATCAGAGGAACCGGCTCAGGAATGGGAACCAAAGATTGGACATTGCCAGACTCTCTTTCCGTCTCTCATCTCTGCTGATCTCTATTTCTCTTTGACTGTTGATCTTAGGCTGTCCTACTGCAGACTGCCTTCTCCACATGGTGGGACACGGGGGAAATTTATTTTTCTCAGCATTGTGTCACAGTTCTAGGGAAGTATTCTGGTTGGCCTTACTTAGACCCATCTCACTTGCCAGTGATATGAGATGCTTGATGAGCCAGGTCTAGTACACATGCCCATCCTTCTGGCCAAGGGACTATAGACTTTGTTAATGGAAAAGGGGGAATGATGATAGCTTTGGGCACACAGAGTCAATAGCTGCCATTGTTCATTATGGTGAAAAACCTTCGTGTTGCGGAGAAGATCTGGTATTCCATTTCATTTCACTTAGCCTCCAGGGCAAGCCCATCGTGACTTTTGGAAGAATATTTGAGAAAAAAACTGTTTACCTTGTGAAATGAGATGTGACACCTCAACCTCTCACCTTCACATTTGAAAGCAGAACGTTGTAGTCTTTGTTTTTGTCTCTCAGAAAGCAGAGAGATTTCAATACTGTCCCTACTTTCATATTTTAGGTAGATAGTATGAGGAAGTGAGCTTCCAGCTGGGAGTCTGAATACCTTTCTTCTACGTGTGCTGATTTTACCAGCTTACCCTGTGGATTTGGGCAAGTCTTTTACTTCTCGTCCACCTCATTTTCTGATTTGTAAAATAATTAGGTTAAAGTAGGTTTCCAAAGCCCTTTCCTGCCCGGACGATTTGAGTCTGAGGAAACTTCAGCAAATCCTAGTGTGGACCATATTTTAAACTTTAGAGTTTCGAATTTTTTTTGGAAGGGAGCAGTAGTAAATAAGTAATACTTTGTCTCTCAGAGCTTTGGCCAACACTATTCCCTCAAGCTCTAGAGAAGCAAGTGTGGGGTCAAGACCGTCAGAAACTGCCCCAGTGCTTGAAATAGTAAGAAGTTGTATCCAGTTGGAGTATTTGAGTAATTTAAAGGGGATTCCATCTCTATAAGGCTTTGTAATATTAGAGGCATAATTTTACAAATTTAAGTCTATCTTAAAGAAGATAGTGACATTAAACAGTGTTATACAAAATCCACTCAGGAACCAGATCTTAGACTTTAAAGGATTAGCCCATTTATCCCTATAGAATTTTTAACAGGGATTTAAGAAAATACTTTGGATTTTTCGTTTTATCTCTGTTATCCTCACTAAGAACCAATTAGGTGACAAGTCCTGGATTTGGTTTTGGGAAAAGGACTTTACAAAATGCAGTGAAGACTCCCAAGAATATGCAGAAAATTAGCTTTGCAGATGTCAATGTTGGCAGTCAAGCCCTCAGGCTGCAGCGATAGAGCAAATTTACTAAAACTGCATTTCCTGAGTTGTCAGTTAAGGAATGTTTCATTGCCTACCCAACCTACATTGTATAATAATTACATGTGCACAGTATTGTTTAATTACAGATGCATTATCCTTATGGGAATTATTAGTGTTTGACAACATATCCTCTTTGCAGGAGGAGAAAATGATTGCAGGGAGGTCGGCTACTCATTTATATCTTTGTATGCTGAGTGTTATTCTTTAGTAGGATCTGTGGGAGTTTGCTTTAAAAGCAAATAGAGATTACTTGTTCTCAAGAAATTTCAAATCTTCTTAGGAAAACATAATACTTTGCTTTTTAAAAGATTTAAAAACATTTATCAAGCAAGTGCACATGGGCATGTAATAGTGTAATACAGAAAGACAGTTTCAATTCTGAGGAAATTAAATAATTTTTTGCAAAGTAAGTGCAAAAATGTATTGAGTTGGTAGTACAGTAATAGAGCTTTTCTATAAAATGAACACAAATCCTAACTTTCTTCTAAATACTCATCCAAGAATGTCTTGAGTATATTTTATAGATAATTTTCCAAATTATTCCACAGGTGATAATTTAAATAAGTATGTATCAGTCATTGTACTGGTTGCTATGGAGGCTGAGCCCTTGCTAATAAAGAGCTTAAGATCTTATTGAGTAGATGATTGTATGAGGACTCTTGGCTAAAGATTACAGAAACCTCCTTAACTAACTTATATAGTAACAAAATTTATTGTGAGCGCCTAGGCTGTCCTGTAGAATCCAAGGACAGGGATGCAGCTGGGCCTTCGGAATGGCCTGGAATCAGGCACTGGAGCACTATAGGGAACCCAGGAATTCTTGCTCTGTCTCTTATCTGCTGTTGTCCCTCTCTTGTCTCTGATTCTTTTTTCTCTTCTTGCAGACTAGTTTTCTTGGTTTCTTAGTCTGCATGGCAAATAATGGTAATAGCCGAAAGCTCCTGAGGTTGTAGCTCCTGCAATCAAGAGAGCAGCTAGTTGGAAACAGAATCTTACTCCCAATTCCACATTCCCAGTGAAGGGCCTAATTTGTCCAGCTTGAATCAGGTGCCTGTTTTTGGACTAATCACCTGAAGACAGGAGCAAGGTCACGTTAACCATATAGAAGTTGGAGGGAAGGGGCAATTTGTAGAAAAAGGGGTGCTAGGTGGAAAGCTCAAGAAGTATTTACCAAGGTACTGAGACACAATACAATGAAGATTACAATGTGTGAGATGATTTCTAAATTGACAGAAAGTAAAATACTGATAAGGGGCGGCCTGGGGGCTTAGTGGTTAAGTTGTGCACTCTACTTTGGTGGCCCGGGGTTCATGGGTTTGGATCCTGGGCGCAGACCTACACACTGCTTGTCAAGCCATGCTGTGGCGGCATCCCACATATAAAGATGTTAGCTCAGGGACAATCTTCCTCAAGCAAAAAGAGGAAGATTGGCAACAGATGTTAGCTCAGGGCCAATCTTCCTCACCAAAAAAAAAAACAACCAAAAAACTGATAATCTTGTGGGCTAAGAGATCAGTGTGTGAATCAATATAGTGTGTCTTAAGTTGACTCTTGAGTAATCCTGAGAGCTAATTAACATATGTAGCAAAAATATTTTTTAAAAATATCATTCATGAATAAACAAAATGTGGTATTTCCATCCCATAAAATGAATGAATTACTGGTACATGTTATAACATAGATGAATCTTGAAAACATTATGCTATCTGAAAGAAGCCAGACACAACACACTACGTGTTATATGATTCCATTTATATGAAATGTCCAAAATAAGCAAATCCATAGAGACGGAAGGTAGAGTGGTGGTTGCCTGGGACTGTGGGAGGGAGAGACTGGAGAGTGACTGCTGATGAGTACAGCGTTTCTTTTTAAGGTGATGAAAATATTCTTGAATGAGATAGTGGTGATGGTTGCTCAACCTTGTGCACATACTAAAATCACTGAATTGTACACTTTAAATGGATGATTTTTATGGTATGTGGAAGTGTATCTCAATTTTTTAAAAATGCCATTCATCTATAATGAGCTGTGAATAAGTTTTCTTTTTACTTCATTTTTTTTTGGATCCATGATATTCATTGATAAAGACAGACTCTATCTTTCCAGCCTTGTTAGAGGCGAGTTAAAGATTAGAAATTAGTAGATTGATGCTACATTATGGCAGTTTAAAGTTATTTCTGAGACAGTTTGGATTTCTAAATATGTTTAGTTAACATAAGACTGTAATTATAGCAAAGACACTCTCAAATACTCATGATTAGATATGCCCCTATGATTGAGAGTGAGGATTCCAAGGGGTTAAGAACTGCTCTGCAAGGACATGAGTTGTTCAGACTGACACAGACCATCCTCAACATATGTATGTCACCATATATATCATTTACCTACCACTGTGCAGCTGGGAATGCCTAATGGATCACAGGAACTCCCTTTCCCTCCCATTCTCTTCCAGATCCTTCTGTTGCTTAGAACCCCCTTATCTGTAAAAAGAGAGGAAGAAAAACCCAGTGTCATTTGTGATCTTCTAGAGTGATTTAGGGCTCGGCTTGAAACGGCAGAGCTGGTTCTGGAGAAACTGGGAAGGAGAGTGGACAGCTTTTGTTGTGTCTCCGACCCTCTGCTGCCACTTGCTAAGCCCCCTCTCTGTAATCTGGTCTAACTCGTCGTGCCTCGCCTCAAACTCTCCTCAGATCCTGTAATGAAATATTCAGGAAACTGATTTCACATATTTCTCTAAAATATAGCAAAATCTTAAGAACATGTAGTGTCCTTAAGAAGAAGAGGGCTCCCATCTTGTCTCCCTGCCAGTTTTTCTGTCTTTTGCCTCAAACACTGGATGATTTTTTGTAAAGCGATAGTAGGAGGTTAGGTTCTGTGGTGTTACTAATACAGTAATACGCTTCAGGCACATTGGAGGTTAAGTTTGCTTTGTGAACTCTTCTAGGGACATAGCCACCATCTGTCATATTTTTCCTCCTTGTGAAAACATGCTGATTTCCCAATAATAACGAACTTAAAAAGGAAC